ATATAACCAGACATCGTGAGAAAAAAAAACAGGAGCACAGGAATATTGACCAGGACCTCGTTTGTAATTTTTAACTCATTTATAATTAATAACACAATGTCTCATTGCAGCAATTTAGGTTTTTCCTTCACATGATAGTCATATTTATGTGTTTGAAGTTGAAATGGTCAATGAGATAATATAACGTATATGCGTATTGGTACCTGTCATGTATTTGTTTGAATCATGAAGTGTTGGGTAAAACGTTTCATTAAATCTTTCAAAATATATATGTATTCATAAACGTCTTTCCTCAAGTGTTTTCACTATATATTTATACACTTGCCACTTGACATTTAATCTCTCTCTCTCTCTCTCTCTCTCTCTCTCTCTCTCTCTCTCTCTCTCTCTCTCTCTCTCTCTCTCTCTCTCTCTCTCTCTCTCTGTGTCATTGCAAGAACGTCAGCAGAAAATATTCCCTATTTGTTGTGTTAAAGGTTGGTTAAAGACTGCCAAAATCAAAGCTACCACTACCACCACCAACAACAGCAACCGGAAATATTATTTACGCAAATGCCATCAGTTTGCTAAAATTACCAATTTACTAGCAGATGACAAGGCTGTTTCTGAAGTGACACGATAATTAAATATCGGAATAATAGTGCTTCTGTACTCATTCTCTTAATTCAGTTAGTTTAAATAATTTTTTAGCATCTCAATTATAACACTAATTTGAGTAGACTTTCAAATTATTATTCGGACAACCACTTGTTGCATGATCGTTTCTTATTCTCTACTGTCAATAATATATTTTGGATTAGTAGAGAGAAATATTAACACAGAGTGCAAAGTTATGATTAAAGTCTGGAAACTACACAAAACCCAACACCTTAATCATGTTTAGAAAAAAGTACTGATAACATACAGACTCCATAGTAAATATTGACTTTTCCTCCAGCCTGAAGCTATCAATCTTTGTCTCACAAAATGACATGAGAAAATTTTTATCGTTTAGCTCATGAGATGAGAGTCTGACTAGGAGACATACCAAAGGGAATCCTCAAACGATATTGTTGCCACAGGGGACATTACTTGTCCCGTAAGGTACACACAAATAGACACTGGAACAATAATTTTCAAAAGATTTTTAAGTAATGCACAAAACAAATGAGCGGTCGAGTGGAATACTGATGAAAAAAGTGTTCAGGTATAATCATGTATGCAGTGTTCGGGCATAATGTTTTTATTACTATGCATAAAGTGTTCAGGCATTTTGAAGTATTATTACGTATACAGGTTCAGGCATTATGTGGCATACTAATGCATAGTGTGTTCGTGCAATAGGTAGATTTATCATGAATACAGTGTTCAGGCATTATCTAGTATAATCATTTATACATTGTTCAGATATGATATAATATTATCATGAATACATTGTTAAGGCATTATGAAGTATTATTATGTATACAGTTTTAGGCATTATTTAGTATACTGATGTATACAGTGTTAAGGCATAATGTAGTATACTGATGCATAGTGTTCAGGCATTATGTAGTATACTGATGTATACAGTGTTCAGGTATTATGTAGTATGTTGATGCATAGTGTTCAGGCATTATGCAGTATTATCATTTATACAGTGTTCAGGCATTACGTAGTATTATTACGTATACAGTTTTGAGCATTATGTAGTATACTGATGCATGCAGTGTTCAGGCATTATGTAGTATTATCATGCATACAGTGTTCAGGCATTAAGTAGTATTATTACGCATACAGTTTTGAGCATTATGTAGTATACTGATGCATACAGTGTTCATGCATTATGTATTATTATCATGTATACAGTGTTCAGGCATTACGTAGTATTTTTACGCATACAGTTTTGAGCATTATGTAGTATACTGATGCATACAGTGTTCATGCATTATGTAGTATTATCATGTGTACTGTGTTCGGGCATTATGTAGTATATTGATGCATATAGTGTTCATTCATTATGTAGTATACTGATGCATACAGTGTTCATGCATTATGTAGTATTATCATGTTTACTGTGTTCGGGGATTATGTAGTATATTGATGCATACAGTGATCATGAATTATGTAGTATTATCATGTGTACTGTATTCGGGCATTATGTAGTATATTGATGCATACAGTGATCAAGCATTATGTAGTATACTGATGCATACAGTGTTCATTCATTATGTAGTATACTGATGCATACAGTGTTCATGCATTATGTAGTATATTGATGCATACAGTGTTCATGCATTATGTAGTATATTGATGCATACAGTGTTCATTTATTATGTAGTATACTGATGCATACAGTGTTCATTCATTATGTAGTATACTGATGCATACAGTGTTCATGCATTATGTAGTATATTGATGCATACAGTGTTCATTTATTATGTAGTATACTGATGCATACAGTGTTCATTCATTATGTAGTATATTGATGCATATAGTGTTCATTCATTATGTAGTATACTGATGCATACAGTGTTCATTCATTATGTAGTATACTGATGCATACAGTGTTCATTCATTATGTAGTATACTGATGCATACAGTGTTCATTCATTATGTAGTATACTGATGCATACAGTGTTCATTCATTATGTAGTATATTGATGCATATAGTGTTCATTCATTATGTAGTATACTGATGCATACAGTGTTCATGCATTATGTAGTATTATCATGTGTACTGTGTTCGGGCATTATATTGATGCATACAGTGTTCAAGCATTATGTAGTATACTGATGCGTATAGTGTTCATTCATTATGTAGTATACTGATGCATACAGTGTTCATTCATTATATAGAATACAGATGCATACAGTGTTCATTCATTTTGTAGTATTATCATGTATACAGTGTTCTGGCATTATGTAATATATTGATACATACAGTGTTCATGCATTATGTAGTATTATCATGTGTACTGTGTTCGGGCATTATGTAGCATATTGATACATACTGTGTTCAAGCATTATGTAGTATACTGATGCATACAGTGTTCATTCATTATGTAGTATACTGATGCATACAGTGTTCATTCATTATGAAGTATACTGATGCATACAGTGTTCATCCATTATGTAGTATACTGATGCATACAGTGTTCATGCATTATGTAGTATTATCATGTGTACTGTGTTCGGGCATTATGTAGCATATTGATGCATACAGTGTTCAAGCATTATGTAGTATACTGATGCATACAGTGTTCATTCATTATGTAGTATACTGATGCATACAGTGTTCATTCATTATATAGTATACTGATGCATACAGTGTTCATTCATTATGTAGTATTATCATGTATACAGTGTTCTGGCATTATGTAATATATTGATACATACAGTGTTCATTCATTATGTAGCGTACTGATGCACACAGTGTTTAGGCATTATGTAGTGTTATCATTTATACAATGTTCAGGCATTATGCTGTATTATCATGTGTACAGTGTTCAGGCATTATGTAGTATACTGATGTATACAGTGTTCAAGCATTGTGTAGCATACTGATGCATTCAGTGTTCAGGCATTATGTAGTATTCTGTTGCATACAGTGTTTAGGAATTATGTAGTGGTATCATTTATACAATGTGCAAGCATTATGTAGTATTATCACGTATAATGTTCAGGAATTTTGTAGTATTATCATGTGTACAGTGTTCTGGCATTATGTAGTATACTGATGCATACAGTGTTAGTGTTCGGGCATTATGAAATATTGCTATGTATATAGTGCTCAGGCATTCTGTTGTATTATTACATATACAGTTTCAGACATTATGTTGTATATTGATGCATACAGTGCTCAGGTATCATGTAATATTATCATGTATACAGTGTTCAGGCATACGTAACTGATACCAAAACACATGAAGTTCATGTAGATTTAAGAAAAACAACAAACAAACATGCAAAGCATTCTTATTGTTCGACATATGACTGATGTGTGTGTATGTGTGTGTAAGAGATTTTCAACATAATTTATCAGTTGTTTATCAATTAAAATGCAAGAATGCATCTATTCCGAAAATAAATTTCCCCGATTTGTATTTGGCAAATCAGTGAACGGAGTTAGACAATAATCTTAACAGACGCTGACTGAATTATCACACATTATTAAGAATAATTATGCTCTTACGTTGCCGGATTACCCAATAGGCAGAGTAGACACGGCCTATGGGCCCCACACCTTTTAATGGATAAAAATAATATTGAATTGATTTTACATTGACGTATTAGAAGATAACTTGCGAGGAAGGGGAAAGGGGCGAAATTTGTACTGCCTTTGGGCCTTCACAGGGTTTAATCCGGCATTGTGCTCTTAATATTAATACGCGTTGACTGTACTATGACAAATTACACATTTGACTGTACTACGACAAATTACACATTTGACTCTACTATGACAAATTACACATTTGACTGTACTATGACAAATTACACATTTGACTGTACTACGACAAAGTGCACATTAGTCAGTACTAATATTATTGAAATATTTTGACAGATATTAGGATGAAGATAGGTTATCAACCATTCTTGGACTTAATAGACATTGTTTGTTCCATTTAAGTACAGGGGAATGGATGCCTCTGACCTGAACACAATTCGAGCTTTGCATGGCATAACAGATTTGCATCTGGATCCGATAAATAAAGGGATGTCCTCTGACATCTATGGATGCACTCAACATTTGATTGTTAGAGATTCAATTTACAATGAGCAATTGTGTGTGTGTGTGTGTGTGTGTGTGATTGAAATTTTTAAAGTAGCTTTAACAATTTTTCAGTCATATCGTTACGGTGCCTGCATTGTGACGGTTTATAGTGATGTCTAGCACTGAGTTATCATGCCGCAGACATGTGGCATGATGTCACACCCAGTCATATTATCCTGACACCAGGCCATCCAGTCCTAACATTAACATCTTAATACTGAGCGCCAAGCGACGAAGCTGTTAGTACCATTTTTCAAAGCTATTGGTATGACTCAGCCGAGGTTCGAACCCACGACCTCCCGCATCAGATGAGGACGCTCTAACCACTAGACCACCGGAGCAATTGATGAAGAAACTTCTATAGCAATACTGGAAAAGTAAAACAAGAACTCGCGGCTTTAAGATGAGTCTGTTCTTTTGTTAGAACCTAAAACGTAGATAAGCTTAATTTGTTTAAATGACCAATGCACAAAAGCTTCCATTTGAATTGTTAATTGTTATCGGCAAGTACTTTAGCGGAATTCTTTTTTCATGCGAATACATCATGATTGGAAAATTATTTATGTGGCATACGTCCTTAACTTATATTTCATTGAGCAATAATGTTCCTCAAAAGCGTTTTAATTTTCTAAAAGAAGATTATTCAATCTAGCATTAATATAAACTATAAACTGCCATATTGCAGAAATCGTAGCGATAAGACTGAATAATTGTTAGATTTACGTTAAATATCCAACACACACACACACACACACACACACACACACACACACACACACACACACACACCAGGAACAAAGTAAGATTTTGGACTAGAAGCAAAACATAAAGAAATCTGAAATCGAGGAGTTGATTATTTTTATACAGATAATGACAGGATATGATGAAGCAGTAAAGAGTTTAAAAGTTGAAGAAAAAAAACCCAGTTAAAATATGTCATTAAATAATTGGCATGTTAAGGAGACTTCGATGCCTTTCGATGGTTAGGTATGAAAAACATCAATATTGCCATCGATGGCATTGTAGCTATTGAACTAATATTGTCATATAATGTATTTGTTTTCATCATTCTAATTAATATTAAATTTCGTGGATGTAGAATTTAATATTTTGTTCATAATAGATTAAAATATTACATTGGAATTTTATTATGCTTTCTAAATGCAGAATGGTTATTTTTGATGGTGGGGAGTTGAACTCTAAACCCATCATCATGTTTCATCGAATACAAGGAATAAGTTATTTTATTCTCTTCTAGATAGAAATAATTTTATATCTGTGTTACGTTGGTTATACTGTTTTAGAAAAGATTATGTTAAACCGAATAATATCGCATTCTCCCTAGATACTCTTCAAGAAGAGTGTCAGAAAAGGTCAAAATGCAATATGTCGACTTTTTTAATTACATGAACTTATATGTTACGCAAAAGAGACTTGCAGAAAGTTGAATTTCTCCTTTTGGTTACAGAACACTGCTATCAAAAATCTTTTGCATATAATTTACTCTTCAAGTTAAATGATGCTGTAATTAGAATTTTGAAAATCGCTGTCTGTGTGTACACAAATATTAGTAGTAGGATAAAATACAGATGAAGGATAAATTCGAATGTTTCAGAGCAGCACATTGTCTGCTTTACTGTATTTTGTCTTTATTAAATTTTTTCTGAATACGCGGATGATGTCTAACGCGTCTCAACATATTCTCAATATGATTTTAATTGGCAGATGATATGCTTTTTTTTTGTTATTATCTAAATCAGGCATATATTAGTTATAAAGTTGAATAACAAAAACCAACGTTAGTCTTGCATAATATAGCAGACAATTGTGTTACCAAAATATGCTTAACAGAGTATATCTTGATCAACTAATACATATTTTTATGGATTTATCTCGCTTGATGAATACATATTCTTAAAGGATTTGTCTCGCTTGATTAAAATACGATGAATTGACTTTTATAAAAGAGAAATTTTAGATAAAAGGTCTAAAATTATATGATTATAAGTTTTATCGACAAAAAATAAACCACATCGTTTACAGTGTAATATCTAAATCATATATGCTTTGTTAGATAACCTACAAACGATTTCAAACTAAGATGGAATCTTTCTTTAAAAAAAACACACACATTATTTTAACATTTGATATTAAGTATAATATACTGTCATGATTGTATAGCGAGAATGATATTATACCAGATACTTTACGACGGCACTCAAACAATTCTTTCATTGCTATTTTATTGAGAAGATACTAACTACCTTTTGCAAAACCCTTTGACCTGTCCAGGTCTATGCTGACTTTTGTATACTGGCTTTGGCTGATTCCATTATGAAAATTCTCAATAATGCAAGTGCAGCTCGCAAACCTTCGAGATAATGAAAATATTTGCTATCGTCTGATCTGATAAGGGAGAATTTAATTCTGTCAAATTTACTAAAACATACCTTAAAATTCATTGTTAAATTCAAGTTATAATTGCTGGTTATTAACCATTATTTTTGTATTATTTTACTATTAACTCTATCAACTTATGTTAACTTTTCTAACATTATTCTGATGTTTAGACAAAATTACTCGCATAATGTCCATGTGCGAGCCTATTAATTCCATTCCGTCTTTATAATACCCGTTATCAGCGAAATTACTTAGTCCACGTTTTTTATAATTATATTCGTTTTGTGTTTATGATAATTTGTTTTAATGACATTAGTTTTGAAAAACTGACTCTAGTGACTAGAGCTGCTTTGAAATAATCAATATTCATCATCTTTTTCGCATATCCGCGAGGGATACCTTTTGATTTCGTTGTCAGTTTATTGCCATCTAAAATTACAGCATATATTTTATTTCTTAGTCCAACAAACTCTCTCACCGGCACAAATATAAACTCATCTGTCATTTTTTCAATAACTTTCTTATTAGAATTATCTTGAAATCCACTACATGCTGGATAATCTGATAAATCAAATAGATCTTTTTTATTGCAAATGTACTGATAGACATTTTCACATCTTATATTATGACTATCAATAAATAGCAATTCCGAATCTGGCCACTGCTTTTTGGCAAAATTGTAGTGAAAATCGTACATCAGTCACTTTGATATATTAAGTACAGCTGCACCAACATAAATTGGTTTATTGAACTTTAAATTTGTCTTTCGTAGTTGTATTGCATCAAGACTTTCATTAAATACTTTCATACTAGCAAAACCAACATCGTTTACGAAATTTTTTCTACGATTTATGTCATTAATAATTTCTATCGAAACTCTTTTTCGGATATTTTTCATCATCTTACGAAAGATTAAGTTGTTCATTAACTTGAAGACGTTTACTCAAATTCGGTTTCAGTCACAACACGACGTTTGGTATTTAGATCAATATAATCTGCCATCCATCTAGACTGATTAGACTTTAACAAGCGATGGACTTTTCTCAGAGTTAAGTTAGCATTTTTGTAATGCACAACATAATTTATTTTATCTATCATATTGGAACTAACTTATTAACGTTCGTACTTACTGCTGTTGGTGTTCCTCGTTGTTCAGGTGATAATAAACTATAATCAATCGTCATTGACTGCGCAAAAAGGATAATCGTTATGTAGATCGTATAGCCATCTAGGATAATCTAGATCAACTTCAACAAAATATCGGGAAAATGATTATTAATTTTTCTAGGTAAATCGTTTTCAATTTCTTTAAGAAATTGATTCGGTGTTATCCAGTGAAATCCACCGCAAGACATTTGCTGTGACATAGCTCACTCATACAAATTCACACAATTTAGATAAATAATGTAACTCGAAGGGAGATTTTTATGTTTTTTATATATTTATTATTAGCTGCTGCATATTTGTTGTTATAACGCTTATTACGCCTCTGAAAACTTGTTCAAGAAAGCTAGACATATTGACATCTGATGAAAGATCGAGTTATATCATGCTCGATTTTAGTAGAATAACAGGGGTCTGATATATAATTTGTATGACTAACTTGACAGAAACTCTCATTAAGAACTGCTAGCAATAATACATCTGTTTAAATATAAATCGTCAGAAATGTGTTTCATCTAAATTTATTCCAAATATCTTAGGCATATTTAAATCCGTCATCTGTGATATTTTTTATTGTGGTGAGTTGCTAGTAAAAAAAATGTATATTTGTCGGGCAGAGAAGTTTCATTAAATTTCTCCAGTCGTCGAGATCGAGATCGAGATACTCGTACTACGTATGGAAAGATACCTTTACTTGTCAGATCGAGATAGTTTTAACTGAAGCGACTCTTTAGGTAAGCGAAAGTGTTACAATCTTTAACACGTAATTTGCTGACTGACATATACTTTTCAAAATTATGTTATTTAATATTAGTTTAACTTTAATATTAGTATTACCAAAAGCTTGTACAATGATATGACTGTCATAGAAACTAAAGTTATGTAAAACTACAGGAATAAAATCTGGAGCATGAAATTTAAAATTACAACTGTTATGAGCTGCTCCACGTTATTGACCGGTCAAATGACAATAATATCGAACCTTTTATCAAAAACTCCGTTGGAGTCCGTTATTAACTTTTCACAAATATGACAATTAACTTCATCATCAAAATTAAGTTGTTGTTTAGACGTTATTCTCATCAGAGATGTTTTAAGTAATCGGTTGTAAATTTTATTAACTTCATCTATTAACCACACGGCTGGATTTTCACCTCTTATATAACTTTTTCGAAAATAAAAATGTATCGCTGGCGCAACAAACTACTTTATAAGCTTTTCCGCAAGGAATATTCTGTTGTAGTTTTGTAGTACTAGATTTTCTCGGATTATTTTCAGCTCCAACTACAGCAACGAGTAGATACTCAAAATAATATTTTCCTTTTGCTTTGTGCATATTTATTTTTTGAACAATTATGTAGTTATTGAGATTCTCTTGCAGTCCTCCATCCCTAGAAAAATCGTGGATACATCTATAGCATAAATAATTTTTTTTTACTGTACTGTCCGCCAACTAAGGCGTTATAAATTTTATCCAACAGTAAAGTCCCTGATAAAATAATTTATTATATTTTGTGAAGCATTTTATGAGATATATCTTTTCCAAACTTTGCTATATGATTTTCATCTACTGGAAAGTTTATGCCATAAAAAGTTAGTACCTCTTTCTTTGTAAAATACTTGTTAACGCGATCAGCATTTTGTTCTTTTGGAAACATCGCGGACAGAATAGACCACGAACAAAATTTGTCAACATTATTTTAGACATTTATACATTTTTTGTGTTTACTTATTTGAAGGAGATCGATGTACAAACTACCGCAAAGTATGTCATATT